TAGCGAAGAGGTATTCACACACCAGCGAACACCGTGGGCAGAACAATGGTAAATCGATGACAATTGTGGCTAGATGGACCGCTGTTCGAATTGCTCGGGGTTGGCGTTGGTTCACCGCTAGTTTCATATACAACTTCGTTTACAGTTGGTTTCTTGCCGCCAGTGGATAGGATAAGAGAGAAGAGTCTGCAACAGTTTCCTGAAGATGCAGCTTGTTCCATCTCGGTGACACTCTGCGTGCACCAAGCTTCGTGAATTTTCCTGAGGAGCTCTTTGAGCTCGGTGTTGGTAGCTTTGCGCAAGACATTGTCCGGTGGTCTTCCATCATTCAAACAGCTTGAGCGGAAATCCATCGTTTGATGGTGTGCGTAGCGAAACCACAGGTGATGCTGGCATGCTTGTGCACGGCACTCTGTATGTGTGCAATGTGCCCCAACGTCTGAAAGTAGATGGCTTCTCAGATTAGAAGCTAACGAATTTTGAAGAGCACTACGAATATTTAGAGCGACTTGGCCACCTTAAGCTGTTTCCGTCAACACTGTTGATAACCACCAAAGCGGAGGGCAAATTTAACACACAAGTGCGTGATCAGATGTGAGGCAAATACTCCAAATGGATTTACAATCCTTTATACTGCCTCGTAAATAGTAACTGATGACAATGTGGTCAATCCACGTCCACGACCGTCCAACCCAGAGGGTTGCCAGATGACGCACTGGCGCCAGGTTCGCGGAAAATTTGAGCTCGTGACGAAGGAACCGTGATCAGCACGTTTCCATACAAGGCGACCGTCATTCTCCGTCCTGCGAGTACCATGGCCATGCAGACCACCGAAAACGCGTTTATTAGCATCGAGCCTACCAGCCTGTGCTTTTAAGTCCCCAGCAATCACCAAGTTATGCGAGCGGCTTTTATTATGGAGAAGGTCTGAGACTTGAAGATAGAACTCATGTTTAGTTGAGTCCGGACTGCTATCCGTGGGAGCATACGCCGCTGCGACGTACAGAGAGCGTTTGGTAGCCCTGCAGCTGGACAGTCGTGCAGAGCTTCCTAGCCGAATTTCACAGGGTCACCCTCAACTGGGATCCAGTCAAAGAGCGCTGCTTCTGCGCGCGCTTAGCGCAACTCGAACACCGGCCAAACCCGCGGCCAACGCAGTTGCGTCTCCGGATGAGCGTAGTGCGAAGGTAGGAGCACGCAGATGTTGTCAGTCTTAAGGTTTTGCTGGGGTCCTGTGAGCGGGTCTCAGTGAGGCAACATAATTACTTCGAGAGGGTTTCTAGAGTGTAAGCAAGTGCTGCATGTGATCCTATCTGCATGAGCATCCGGATTTTAAAAACGGTAAACTTGCGTTGGAAGCGGGGCGCTAGCAAAGTCATGTTTTCGCAATTGCCTGACACATGGACGGCTTTGATCTTCTAATCGACACGGTTAGAACTGTCCACCAAGTCAGCACATTGTCGGAGACTCGGCATCAGAAGGGGATTACCAAGAATTGGTGAAATCAAAAACCGTGGAACAGAAAATACAGCAGGTGATGCGGTAAAGCATGGTATAACGCAGTCAGTCTCCAACATCAGACCGAGGTAAACGAAGGCAGGTGGCATGGATAAAGAGTTGGATTTCGTAGATTCATGTTCATGTGGTGTGCGGACATCAAGCTTCCAGGTTGCCCAGGCCGATGAAGAGGGTCGGATTAGGAGAGCCCACTTGACGTTTTGAGTAGTAAAGACCAGACCCGCAAGGCAGCGGGGCGATTAACGCATATCGCAAACCGTCGGTAGTGGGTAAGATCACTTCGAGTGGTAACGAATTTCTCCGGGCACCCGAACAGCCCGAGTATAGCTTCACAGCCAGCTGCGGAATACGAAGATCATTGACAGCTAATTGACTCTTGCGCCTTCTTACTGTTCGGTAACGGTCCACACAGAAGCCGATAGCCAACAACTTTGTTCATCCGCCCTCCGTTAGGTACTCACCTCATTTTGCGGTAGTGAGTGGTCAGTGACCCCATAGCCAGTCGCATTGACTTTGGCACAGCGCCATGCTAGCTCCTGTGGTATTTAATGGAGAACTAGATGACCAGCCCAGCACTGCCCTCGCTCTGAGACGCTGCCGCTGATTGTCCGCGGCCGCTTATTCATCTGGTTTCAAAGCAACCGTGATTTATTCGCAGTTACCTCCACAAGGAAGGCATTTCACGATTCGCAAACTGGGGCCGCGCCCGATAGCGTACAGCTCCGCCACGGATCTGTGGTATGATCCGTAGCTAAGTGCGGCTGTGGCCTTGTAACCCGGAGGTCGTCGGTTCGAATCCGCATGAGCGAGGGATCTCGCGGTACACTCAGGCCACGCGCGACTGTGGGTTGTCGCGTGGTAACAAAGTATGTGAACTGTGTGCCAGCGCACCACTGATGCAAACTGCGGTCTGTCAGGTTTCTGGGACCAAATTCAAGGTGGGTACTCATTGTTACCGACTAATACCGACCTACTTTGGGTGGACTTTCGTTCTTGGTTGAACTTCCAAGGTAGAAAAAGCCGAATCCGGGAATAGGGCCAGAAACAGTGGATGCCAGCAGACACATTCCCTATGTGACTACTGAACACCGAGAGAGAGAGAGAGAAATAGAGAGAATGGTACAGCGATTAGGAATATAGTCCTGGATATGGAATCAGGCAAAACACGTATGGACAGTGACGCGTAGTCCCAATGTGGATCACAATTTCCTACAAACTCCAAATACAGCACTGCCCAAACGGCTTCTTCCCTGTTTGAATTCCTCTGCTGACGTTAGCTGAAGCTGGGAGTGGAGCCCAGTAAGTAGTGAATACCGGATGCTACCCTACGCACTGAGCGACTGGGCATTCCGAACAGCAGTCGAAGTGGTCAAAATGATGGAGATTCGCTTCCAAGTAATCGTTGGTCCTAAGTGAGACTGGGGTACCCCAAAACTCAGTAATGATTGTTCCTTGGACAGCTTTACTACTGGGAGTGCATCTGAAGCAAGAACTTCTCAGCGCCGATTAGTCCCGATATTGCATACTGGGGTCAGTCCCGCCACCATGTGAGAACTTCGAATTCAGATCACAGGTTTGAGATTTGCATTAGAGGCATCTCGGGAGCTGACTGAAGATTCCAAACACTAATCGAACTAATCCTGTGATTATGAGCGTGAGCACTCGAGGGAAGGTATGTCACGAGTCCGCTAGATCTGGACATTTTCTTTCTTAGGATTCCTTTCCATGTTGATAGAGCTACTGGGAAAGTGTGTTGTTTGTCATACAGCGTACCATAAACATCTTTAACTCGTTTTATTTGGTGCCGAACCATCGACGGTACTGAAAAAACCGCCCCATGTCACATGCCGCCCGGGTCGGACCACCCTCGCCCCTAATATGCTACGCCTCTGCTTGTGACATGGTCACTGTAAGCATCTCGCTCGTCACATAGTCCACGGGGCAGATGAGTAGCCACCGCCTCTGTCGCTTCACTGCGGCCAAGACATAGTGGTAAGCACCTCCTTTCGGAGACAGTTGCAACGTTTCAGGCCAGAAGCCAAATGCCACCATTGCTGTAAAAGTTGAAGCAAATAACCTTTGGGCTGCCTACCAGTTACAAGTGAACCAGCTGTTTTACTTTGTACTATCCAGGGATTTTCGTTAAGTAGAGATATGGGACCGTATAGACTCATGACCATGTGGAATTCTGCTGATAAAATATTTAGTCAAAAAAGTGCTAAGTGTACTTTGTACATCCGCTATGTACCGCGGAGTGTATGTAGTGGGATGATAGAGATTCTTTATAAAGACTGAATTTGTTAAGGTATTAACCAAAGAGAAAATATGGGTGATTTGCAAATCAGCCCAACGCTCCATTGCACACTATTGTGAACACAACTGCAAGCGGCCAATTTATGAGCCGAATATTGATTCGCAAACCAGTCACCTACATCGCCCGACAGACACTGGCTCGTTATAACCAATCACGAGAGACTCTATGCGTTTTCTCAGACAATCGCATCCATAAGGCCTTCAAATTCCTCTGTAGGGAAATCATGTTCATAGATTTCTCAAGATGGTCCCTAAAGCTATCAACTTGTATGTAACACAAACACCCCTAAAAATGCATGCTTTCATTGTGTAACTAATCCAACTCATCCGATAGTATAACTGATGAATACACATAGTAGGATGCCATTGACTGATTTGGGATTGGTCACTCAACGGGCGCCCACGCCCATTGGATGGAATTTGATAGCGTTAAGTACCATCTTTAGAGATTTAGAGAGGAACATGGTTTTCTTAGGGAGGAGTTTGAAAGCGTTATAGATGCGATTGGCTGAGAAAAGGTTTAGTGCACTTGAATGATGTACTTCCAACAGATAGAGCTGTCAATTGCGCGTGTAAAATTACTTACAGACTGCACAAGTATACACGGGCCATACTTCAAGACAGTGATGTGCTGGCGACGTGTGTCACTACCGCCAATGTACGAACCGGAATACAGCTCTGCTGAGAGATTCAGCGGTAGTGGTGTAGGCACTACACACGAGGCATGAAATCCATTGAGACAACATCAGGGTCACTTGGGTAGAGTTACGATTAGTCGGTCAATAAACACTGGGCTGTCGTAGTCCAGTGGATGAATCTAGGGGAGAGTAAACACCGAATCACTAGCAAGGACTTAGATTTAAATACCCGTACCAAGAACCACTTTGAGCCATCTCATTATTACTGTACCACGAATTGGTCCGCTTGAACTGACTCATTCGATTGCTGTAAATCCTACACCAAGTTTTCTGGTTAACTTGACATGACGAAGTGAGAAACACTGAAAGTATCCACTTTGAATTGGTCTTTCGAAACTTTTATGTCAAAAGCGAAAGGTTGCCATTAAACTGTACCAACGGATTGTTTTCAACTTTTTTTCGAAATCATGTGTTTTTGACCGGTTTCAAGCCTATTTAGAAACCTTGAATGCTTTGTGCGCATCCTGACAGAATGAGGCGGAAGCCGCATTGGCCGAGGCATTACCCGCAGTGGAGGCTGCTCGCAGCGCATTAGATGAGCTGGAGAAGAATGATGTGACGGAAATTCGAGCGTTCGCAACACCACCGAAACCAGTGAGTTCCTCTTCTTGGATACCCATGGTGGCTTTCATTTTGCGTTGCTTTGTTTCCACTTCGCGTAAAATTGCTCCACAACAGAATGCAGTCACAATGGCATCACGTTGTCCATCACGCTCATAGGTGACTTGAGAATAAGCTGGGGCAGGTTTCCGTGTGTTCAACAGCCTAGTAACTGCTTAAAGAACGTGGATACAGTTTAAATTGGTTAATCCGTATCTTAGTTTCCATCTGACAATCTTCCCACTGCTCTGTGAATGCAGATTGCGCCAGTGAACTTCTCTCGGTTCCTGATCCATTTTAAACCTTCGGTCGATTCCGAAATGATTCTGATTACAAATAATTCACATCCCGTTCAAATAGCTTTGGGAACGATCGAATGGCGGGGTTGTGGGTCAAGGTTTCGCTTTCGACACTAGCATCATCATGTCACATGAATAAATATGCAATTGGAAAACATGGAATAGAATTCGGAGACAAGCCCATATGAAGTAATCGAAGACAAAACCTTATCAGCAGTAATATCTAACAATAAAACAGTGGTTGATAACTATTTAAAAACGACAAAGAACGATTTGGTTGTAAACAAACTGTACAGCGTATACCCGAAAGCCACCATACTCCCAGGAGATTATGGTTTGCCAGAGATAAATAAACCCAACGTTCCCGTATTCGACCGTATGGTCTTCCCTACTCACGAACTTGCTAGACATTTAGCGAAGCTATTACAATCACTGACAGCGAACGAGTACTTTCGTGAAAAGTTACAAGTTCGCCCAAAAGATAAAATTACTCTGGCGTGATTGGTTTTCACGAGCCACTACGTGTCGGTCGATGCACGTGACACGTGTGGGGATAAAAGTGCGCGTTAGCAAGCTATGCATGACTCATCACAGCGGCGTTCTTTTACATGTCCGTGCTCTCAATTGCAATACTGTCGAAGGAATAGTCGAACCCACCATGGCCTCTATCGGATAATTGGAAGAATACACAGAAATCCGGTTCTTCGAACAAGTGCATTGAGCGTCTGGATTGTTTTTCTCCCGCTAAATAAATGAAACAGTCAGTGACAACCGAGTATTCGTGGCTCACGAACATAAGAACTAATTCGCACCCTGGTGACCCCGGATTTATCATGCATTAATTTGATAAACTGGTCATACTGCTCTCCAATCACCCTAAGCCAAAACCATCAGTTATTGTGCAGTGATTTATGTTCAATACCCGCGTTCAGGGTGAGAGGAAGTAAGTTGCTTCCTTAGTTGCCGAGCTTCAGAAGTCGACAGAATATTGTAATTTCGGCAACTACCGAATCGACATAATCCGGGATCGTCTGGTGGTTGTAGTTGAAAACATTCACACTTAACATTGCCAACTGGCTGATAAGGAATTGATGTTGAAAAGTGCCTATGATGATGCGAGAAGCGTAGATGCTGCTGAAACTAATGCTTAGCTTCTGCAAAAATTACAGCTCAATTCAATCGTACTGTAGATGCTCTGGCCAATGTTAACAGAGCTGATAAAACGCAACGCATGTGTTCAATTGCTTTCGCTACGGCTTGTATCACAGTCATCCTAGAGAGTACACTCATGCTCCGACAATTTATAAAAAATGTCAAAAAGGTTGGCATTTGGTACGGACTAACTGATGGTCATCTTCTACGTAACCACACTTTCACCAATATACCCAAAGAAAAGACGCCAAAGATTGACAAGACGTTGTCTAAGTGCAGATTGCCCTGCGGATGACAGAACCAAACTTACAAGTAACCAAAGTATCGCCCAGCCCTCCCGGGGTCAAAGCAATGTCTGGGCAACGATCAGAACCTGTTATTTGTAAAGCAACGCACAGTTTATACTGTACGTAAATAGCGGACGCTATTTGGTTGCGACGTATCATATTGGTTACGTTCCATTTACAGGATCTTCCTCGGTATGTCTGTGTACTTAGTCCGTACGTTTTGCAAGCTTTAACCGACTTCTGCTTAATATGTTTTGTCTGCCTTGAGTTATGCTCGAACACAGCAACTCTCCACTTTCTCTGCCTCGTGCACACATGTCGTACGCTCCTGTCTGTTCCAGCCAATCTACTTCGTCACTACTCCTGACTCAACCATGCTCTGTCCGTTCTAGGTTCCGCCGGTCTTGAGTCACCACTCCGCATCGTCCACGCGTGATCCATCTACATCGACCAGCTGAGTGGCCGCCGGCTATCGTACCACCCAATGTTTAGTTTTCTCAACCATCATCATCCCTATAGACTTTAGCGGGACCTTTAAATCAGCCGCTATTATTTCACTGGCACATGGCCATTACTTAAGTTGATTCGGATTTATCAGATTATATTGAGCTTGGCCTCCCATCCTCTTCTTACATCCCCATCCGGTATCGCAAGCAAAGCGCGTCGCAGGATCCAATAGGATGGCCTGATTGTTGGCCTGGTTCTTGAAATAAAAAAGCCGTACGGTTCATTTCCTCTTCCTGTGCTATAAAAAGGACGCCGAACACGTTCATCGATCATGCGCGGTTCCCGTCAGATATGAGCCAAACTGCGAACCTACCGGTGGTGGAACACAATTAACCTCTTTTTGTCTGCTGATCTAATAGGCCAAGTTTCGCACCCGTACAGCAAGGTCGAACATACGGATGCATTGTACATTCTACCATTCAAGGAGTGATTGATGCCGCGCCAACGCCATAGGTGACAAGGGTTAGCAAAAGCATCTCTTGCTTTTGCTATGCGATTCCTGACCTCATCTTAGATTCCAATGGCGTTACTATAACTTCCCAGACAGTTGAATCTTTGAACGACTTCCAGCTGTTTCACAACAAGTGTCAACCCAGGAGGTAGTCCCTGCCAATCTTGGGGGAAAACTTCGCACTTTGACGGTGCAACACAAAGGCCGAAACGGCTGACACGCAGACCAAATCTGTCCATTGCATCTTGGCATGTTTGTGAACTATCAAACGTGAGGGTAATGTCGTCAGTATACTCCAAGACAAGAAGTCGTTCACCTGAGAAAAGCTCCGTACCTTCTAAGTCATGTCAAGTTAACGTGATTCCCATGACTTCATCAATAGCGAAGTTGAAGAGGAAAGTGTTTTGTCGCATCCAACGCCTTCATCCCACAATCGCAAGAAGAACTCCAAAGACCAACTGAGCAAAAATGGTATGAATTGAAACTTGCCTGCTCAAATAGTTTTGAGAACGGACTGAAGAGAAACTATTAAAAGACGGATTTTCAGATCATTTTGAAATACACTGTGTGGATGGATTGTGACACACAATCTAAATGTTGACCGTAGCTGAAGCAGATGGAAACTGTGTGTTTCCCGCCCGAAAACGCTGCACTCCTATGACGCGTTTCGAGGTTATTTCATCTCAGCAGATAGAAATAGCAAGCATCCAACACGAGAACATTGGGTGTTAGTTGTGACCGCTACCCCTAAGTCAGAGGGTCACGACGGGCAACACTTGGCACAATGGTTAATGATTGATATTCAGGGTCGACATTCGTAAGAGGCAGGCAGTTGGATGACCTCAACCAGTGGGACACTACTTGTGCATTTTTGTGAGTAGTGTAATGTTCGTAGAAAGTAAAGTCACGATTAAACTGCACACAATAATCTGCCTCGACGGAGAATCCAACCCCAGTCCCACGAATTACCGGTCCGTTGCTCTACCATTGAGCTACCGATAGTGGGACATTATTAGTTGCCGAATGGAAATTGTACTGAAACCTGCACACGTAGTGCGTATTACTCAGCACCCCAACTCTAAGCATTACGGAGAGCTAAGGCTTCTGCGCATTATGCTGAAGTCCATCACTGAAGTTGTATCAATACTATTGTCGACAGGTAGTCTCAAAAATGAACGGTGCTCTATTCGTATCTTTCCAGACATCCCAGGGGACGAGCGTTATCGAGTTGACCACCTCTTAAAGGATTACCGGAAGGAAACTTCAACCAGAGCCATACTACTTCACCGGGTTCCTGCAACTGAAGCATGTGATGAGCATGAAATGTTAACCCATGATCAAGAACAATTGTGTTATATTCGTGAAACACTGCTTGGATGCTGTGTCAGTGCCATCCGTGTCACAGCTGCGTACCTCCTCGAACTATAAACGAAGTGGCCCGATAAGGTTGGTGGTCCCACAGTCAAAATATATGGTAGCACGGCTGCTAAAACACTGGCACATGTTCCGTTGCAGGTTACCATCTGAGTTTCGGCTGTAGACGGTCAACGATATGCCTACTAGAGGTGGTATGTCACTCAACGAACCAAACGCGGTGGGATCTATGAAAGAACAACGCACCAGTAGTGTGTCTAATGACCCCATACAACCTATAGAAGATGATATTGCCCAGATACCTTACACTGTACATAGAAGATTAGACACGGGTCTAACTACGCGGAGGATGAATAAAACGCTAAACCCTTCTCTGAGTACACACCAACGAAACGATTAGTCGCCGGCCAATCACTATTCGGCGATACTTCACGTATGAGTTGCACAACCTCCGAAACATTGCTTAAATCTGAGAAATTTCCATGTATGTATACCAACGCCCAAGGGCTCTTCAGTACATCTACCGAATTTCGGCTACATCAGGTTGCAAATGCTTGAAAGCTATTTAATATTACTGAAACTTGGTTGCACCAAGTGGTGACTGGTGCTGAGGTTAAGATAGCCAGAATGTCACTCATCCGGAAAGACCGCCCCAGCAGAGTAGGTGGGGTCCAACTCTACTACCGCAGCGACCTGCAATGTGCAGTAGTCGATGCTCTGGAAACTCACGTTACCGACTCACTCTGTTGCCGTCTCCGAGTAAGACACAACGAACTTGTCTCGTAGCTGTCGTTTACCGCCTCCAAAGTCCACTCCGGAAATGCATTCACAATTGATGCGTGTCCTGAACAGAGTAACGCGCACTAGGTACAGCCACGTTTTCCTCTCCGGAAACTTCATTCCACACGATCTGGAGGTTTCGGCATCACCTAGTGAACAGTTCAAAACAGACTTGCATGAACTGATTGCTAATATTCTCTTGTATAATCAAGTCACCACGCCCATTAGATTCAGGGCAGCAAACAAAACGTCCACATTGAATCTCGTGCTCATGAATGAAGAGCTCATGGTTGACAAGTACTTAATGGATAGTCCATTAGGACACATTGAACATGTAGTAGTAAGGTTCAACTAGGTGTGTTATACAGATTATCCACCTGAACACTCGGAACTAAGTCATCCAATCACACGCTACCATGTCTTGAAAGATCTCGTCAGCGCATCTGCTTGGGAATTCTCAAACAACAGCCCCCTTGGCAACGTTTGGACAGACTTCGTTGAAAGACCCGTCGACATCGTCAACGTCGCATAAGAAGACCAAAACCCTTTATCCCGCAAAATGCCTTCAGTTCTAAGGAGCAGGATTCGAAAATGCATGACGACAAGGGATGCAGCATTACGTGCCTACAAGTTTAACCCCGACTCAGAGACTTGGGGCAATTTACTGACCCATCGCAACCATTACAATGCACTGATCTGAGAGTAACTTATCAACAGTGCCTAGACAAAATATTCCTGACAAACGACTAACTTTTGTATAGACATGTCATCAATTTCGTAAAGTGGAGCATGGCATCCCTTTACTTTCCTATACAGGCCGTAGAGTACAAGGCGCTGAAGAAGCAACTAATGCCCTGCGGTTACAATACGCCACAATTTTCGAACTTGCAGTCTCTGTCTGTCCCCTAATGTCACGCACATTACCGACTCCATTGTTTACACGTGTAATTTTCAACCCATCAATTGGGCTAAGGAAGTTATTCTCACTGCGCGATCATGGCTTTCCGGGAGCAGACAACATCCACCCGAAGACACTGAAGCCTGCGGCCGCCAAGCTAGCTGAACCACTGTCACAATACTACCAAAGGTGCTTTGATGAACAGCAAGCCACCACTATGTGGAAGCGTGGCATTATCACCTCAATTTCTAAAGGCGGTATCCGTTCCGATCCTGCAAACCATCGCTTAGTGACTCCTCCCTGTGCTCGCGAAGGTGATGGAAGCGGTCGTCGCTGAGGCTCTAATGGACTATCTGGAAAAATGCCACACCTTCGCATCGGAGCAGCATGGCTTCCGTCAACACCGGTCCTGCACCACTAATCTACTGACTGCACGAGGTAGTTGAACAGAAGTGGCTGATGATGGGGTCGGAGTCGACGTCATCTATCTGGACTTCTCCAAAGCTTTCGACCGTCTTGATCACCGCATCTTACTTCACAGACTACGGAGCTACGGAATCGGAGATCCTGTTCTTGGTTGGATTAGCAACTTTCTTCACCAACGGAAGCTTCAAGTACGCGTTAGGGGATCACTCTGTAACCAGATTAAGGTAGAATGTGGTGGCCCACAGGCCTCAGTGTTGGGACTGCACTTATTCCTGGTGTTTATCAATGATTTGGCAAGAGTTATCTCCACAAATTTTTTGCTTTCCGCCGATTACGTCAAGATATCGCGGGCGATTAGTAAAAATGAAGATCACAATCTACTCCAACATGACCTGGATTACATCTATGAATGGTCAAAGAAGAACCTGCTTCAGTTGAACGTAGCTAAGTGCAAGTTGATCCGTCTGCGTCACCAACCGGTGAGCGTTTACAAGCATGGAGACCACACCTTGCAGAAGGCCTCTTAGTAGTGGCACCTTGGTTTACTGGTACAAGAAGATCTCGGGTGTTCAAAACAAGCAGAGAAGGCGACGAGAACCGTCAATCAACGGTTCGGCCTGCTTCGCGGAGCGTTCGGTCTGTTTGAACCTTCAATCTTCCTCCAAATGCTTAACGCCTATGTGCGACCGCAAATGGAAATGCTATCCAGGCGTGGCGACCGTGGCAGCAACGGGATCTCGTTGCTCTCGAAACTCCTCAACGAAGTACAACAAAGAACGTCAGACGGCTCGTTTATCTTCACCATCACCTTAGACTGAAATTTCTAAGAATGTACAGCAGTCGATATCGGCTTTTGCGGGATGATCTTCTAATGGCTTACCAGATCCCGCAGAATCCAAACCACAGTTGCCGTCCGCTGCTGGAATTGAGCCACAACATTAACCTAAGAGGTCATCCTCTGAAGCTGAAAATACAGTATAGCCGGCTTGAATGCCGTAGAAACTTCTTTTCCCGCAGCGTGTGCCAATCTTAGAAAGCTCTACCTAATTATGTTGTCTCTGCTCCATATCTGGCGATATTTAAAAACAAGTTGACGATGCGTTGTCGCATTTGCATTTCATTTTATAATCTGTTAGCCAGGGGCTGCAAAACGCAATAAAACGGTGTCTTGCCAAACTTCCAAGCAATGAATTTATGGAGTTATACTTTTAATACGCGAACATCTCCGTTATTCTACATAATTCTATGGTGAGTCCACCAAAAGGCTTTTCAGTCTATCATGCAAGTCAGGTTACGCAATTATTTTCATCCCACGGGACCCGTCAAGCATTGCTCATTTTACCCGTAATACACCATTGTTCCATGGCTCCATTGAAGTACCCGTTGTGTGGATGGATTATGACTCGCAATCTCAATGTTGAACGCGATTCCCATTGAAGTGAACCTTCGGCTTTCCATCCCGAGGACCGTACCTGAAGCAGATAGAAATTGCTTGTAACGATGTCTGACTTAGAGATGAGAAGCGCTTAGTGTCGACCATACGCTGCCCTCCATCTTCCAGTGGGTAACGGATTGGTAGTTTTATCACCTAGCCTGGCAGGATATCGATGACATTTCGCAACCCTAAAACATGTTTCATAACTCGAAAGCGTGAAATCTGCTTCGGTTTGATGCAAAAACATGAGTCCAAAAAGCTTTGGGAGTAACTGCGTTGCAGAACTAGTACAGTTCCAGCAAACTTGCGCAGAGTTCTCCTGAGCCTGCCTCCCTATCAGGCTGAGCAAGGCATATGAGGATTCAAACTGTGCAGCTTACAGCTGGGCTGTCCTCACTGACACTGCCCGCAGATGCCAACTCATGTGCCCTACCGACATACAACTTCTCTGGGTTGTATGCTTTGCAATGCTGTGCTATTGAGTTCTAAATACGCAAGTGTAGAAAGTATGTTCGCCTTTGGCTGTCAGTAAACGAACTTCTGCTATTAGCCAGTCTTTCTCTGCAAGTCCGGAGTGTTGTCGTGCGAGGTTACGTGTTTCGTCTGCAGTTCTAGCTTGTGCATACACACGTCTGGCAGATAGGTCTCTTAGTCCATTAAAAAACTCGTCTGTACTACCAGATTGGTTGTCTAGACAATAAACTCGAGAAAGCCAACATCTGCGCGAGTTGAGTGCGGCTCTCAAGGGCGTAGCGACCTGTATTTATTCGGCCAATCTGGTTAGCTTCAATGCGTGGATCCAGTTGGAAAGCGAATATAGGTTCGTCGCTACAAAGTCCTTATGTGTCGATGCGATTTAGGACCAAACATGGAATTTTCCGGCTGCGACTGAAATAATTGTTTTGATATCCCGATCTGCGACTGTGATAGCCTCATGCTTCATATCATTATTATCACGAGTATCGCCCCCGTCCGATAGCAGATTCACATGGTCTGCTAAAACTTGTGCCAAAAGCGAGGCGTTTTCCCGCCCAGTCATTAACCGTGTGTTTCCAAACCTCCCCGAATTTCCACTTCAGAATGTTTACGGTTGTTGGGAAGCAAACCGCATACGTCTTCAATAACTTCCGTAGACAATTACCATTGCTTGCGGACAAATCTGAGAAAGAAAGATTGCTCCAAATATGGTTTTGCGTACCACATGTTAATAACTCATGGTATTGCGGCTTGCCAGTTTGCAGTACCTTTTGACCTACATTGCTCGCTGCTTTCTCCCTGTCCTCAAGGTGCAACTTGTGGGCGAGGCGCTGTGCCACATACTGCAAGCGACTGAAGTCAGTTGGAAAGCCGCACGAGGCCTAATGGCCGATGCAAACTTCATCATGAATCTACAACAGATGGACGTTGAAGCCATCCCGGTGAAGAATATACAAAATTTAAAAGGTCAGTACCTGCTCTCTGAACTCAAGTTCTATGACTAGCGAATGAAAGTTGTTCTCCAATGCCACATTGTGTAATTATTCACTCCGGATCCAGGTGACACGATCACGAAAGTACCAGAACAAGATGCAGTATGTGCAAGTTAATAATGTTCATTGTTTCGGAGTATTCAGCTGCGCTTTGTCGGCGACATGTCGAACACCGTTAGTGGTTTGTACATCCGATGTGGTTTCTTGCACACCATCGCAGCAACAAACAAGGACAATAACATCCAGCCGCCACGGCGATGGCGCCTTAATTACATGGATTAACGAATCGCTTCTCCTCACTAGGCTTGAATGTACATAGGCCATCTGACTGTGCCTCTCTTGATGACTCAACTAAGTGGTTAGCAGACTCCGTGAGCTTCTTGACACCAAACGACGACAGTTCCCTTTAGTTGGGTCTTTCGCACGATGGCCCGGAAGTGGTGTGTGAGTACGGAGCACGTTCTAAGGATCTCAGGTTGTCAAATATGCCTCTATTTTGGAAGTCCGTATTTGTTCTGTTATGGCCATCAGACTGACGCCGTTTACATAGTGTAGGTTGGCCGTTACCAATTAATTGGAACACTAAATACAAGACCCCCACCCCAGTAACATCTGTTGACACAAAGTTTGCCTACACCTGTGTCGTGTGTGCTCAAGTTTCTGGGTCTGCAGCATCGGTCTGATAACTAGAAACCAGCACCCTATTTTCACAAGACCTTGACTACTGGTTGGAACTCTCGACCAAGTTCATTGCGGACTTCACAGGGCGGACTACTATCATCCATAGCCCTTAGTGGTTTTCGGTTGTCGCCTAATAGAACGTCGGCACGAAGGCATTGTTTAAATGCTACCAGCTGTTAAGACAAAGTTTTCTGAAAGCCAGGTTAGTACAACCTTTTGCTTGGTGTCCAGAGATGAGTACACTGTTTGATAAACCCATTTCTCTCTCTTATCCCATAACTCTATTATGAGACGATATGGCTACTGGCACGTCTTCAACCCTACAATCCCAACCGATTGCTATCCTAAACCCAACCGTCTACACGAAATTCGCGTGTCTGAACTGTAACGAGTGGACCATCATTATCGACTATCATTAGCATAGGAATAGTTACTGGGGTATGGAGCTTCAAACATTTGTGCAGTTCACCGGATAGAAAACATCTGTACAAATACACATGTATATCGGTGCCATTTTTTTCCACAGTTGCCCTCGTTGGTTTAGGAGCCAAAGTAGCTAACCGGTTTTCGCAAGCCCTAATGGAATCCTTGTAGCGCTCAGGATCATACCTATTTTCACACATGTCGTATAAAGCGCAACTTTGACTTGAAAAAGTTACCTATGGCAACCGAGTTAAAAGATGCCAGTAAAATTCTCACATGATAGCTAAGTTGCCTGTCACAAAATGATGTAAATACATAACGGAAAGTAGGTTGTCATTCAGTGGTTTTAATTGTGGTACTGCGAAGTGTTTGCCATGGAATAACAAGGTCGAATCCATCTACTTGTTTACCTGAAGCAATGGGCAAGTCAGTCTGACATTTACGCATGCTTGACATGAGAAGACGTGCACAACCACTGATTGCCGACTTCGGAGACACTCAGCGAGGCAGTGAAGTGCGGTTAGATGGTGTCACTTCCTTCCGAAATACAGCTGACGACCGGACAGTCCTTCAGTCGGCTGAACGGTAAATCTCAGTGAATTCTTTGAGAATTCAACACGTTACAGACTAGTTGTGCGCCTGAGAACACACATCTAGATGGCATAATTCTGAAGTACACAGTCGGACCCATTTGCGCAATTCATTAATGGTAGCGTTTAACCCGCTGCTCCGCTACGCGCCTTCATCCACAACGTATCGGTGATGGTTGATTTTTGAATTACAGAACCTTCTTCTTCTTCAGTGGTCCCTCGTTTCTCTGGTTGTATCACATCTGCTCGTTTTTCCCAATACCATTCAACAGTAGTGCGCCCAATGTTGGTGCAGTCTTGAGCCATAAACAACATGGCTAGCTAGGGAGAGAGGAGCTTGCCACACTCTTAGGCTTCGATTGTAAGTCAGAGTTCTGGGACCACCTTTTATATATATAGAATATGGGCATTGCGGTGACATCCTGGCACTGGTCCTTGACGAGGTGAGTTTGTAAACATCTATTAGGTGCAAAAAGTGGTTCGTGGTGTCAGTGGGCATCCACAGTTTACCTTACGTTTGACCACCTACGACGCCACACATCTGCAAACATCTTGAATGTTTCATGGTGCTCTTTCTCTGGCAGATTTCGTCGATTGGTGATTCCGCGTTCCTTCCCTATCTGCTTCCATCTACTACCTCCGGGCGTTCACACTGTGTTACACCGTTGGTTTGGTCCATCTCTCACCGGTTATAGTCTGGGTTTCCCGTTCCTCTCAGGCTACTGAATTGCGATGCGGTAGTACCTACTGTTTGCTCAACACAGTTTGGCTATGGGATAGTGCGGATTGCTGCTCTCCTGACACTGTCTGTCTAAGCAGGACAACTACATAGGCTGCTTTTACTGCCATTTCCTACAAGCAATCGCAAGTCGACCACATAATCCCCACCATGCGTATCACCTGGTTGACCTAGACACCTTGCCTCGCATCTCCGGATTTATATGCGCTAGGGATCGATTTCGTCTCTCTTCTTGCTTCGTACAGATTTTAGCCGATTTGAAGTCTCTGTCATTGCTGCCGAGTCCTCCAGTGGGACAGGACTCAGAAATTACTCTATTTCGATCTTTCAAGCTCCCACACACAATTCTAAGAGTCATGTTCATCGACGATCTCTGAATATCAACCCGTTTTCCAGCTCTGCTAACAAAATCTATGGACTTAACACTAACATCTTATGGTTTTATGAATTTTGCGTTATATTTCGCAATGCACAGCACCTGAACACCTGTGACCCTGTAATGCAAAAATTTAACGTTTATTTGAGCTATACTGGGAAATCAGCGTATAACTCGTGATTGTCCGCACCGGTACGACTGACTGAATGGTCGCGTAACGCTACTTGCTGCTGTATATGTTATGCCCTCTCCCATGTTATAGTCTCTGACATCCTTGCTCATCATCAGCGTCAAAAACGCGTATCCCGCCGGGAATTCAAATAGAAGGAATATGGTACTGTTGAACAAAATAAACATAACAAAATCGGGCAACTCCAAAATTCAAATGTGCCAACACGTCCTTCAATACAAAACAATCTCTGGGTCAACTCTCCAGGATCGTCTGTGAATCAGCAAAGACACAATTTCACTATTAACAACATGCGGACGCCGACTAATGAGGCTCGCCTCGGCAGGCCTAAAGCTACAAACGGACCGCATAGAGCGCTCGCGCAATGAGGCACACAACGATCAAGGCGATGTAGCACCAGCTGTCAGATAGACAAAACGTAGCACAAGAATGGGCGTAGGAGTGGGTGGGTAATGTCAAGGTTATTGGAAGTGAGACATGACTGAACTGGAAGTAGATGCACAGAGAAACGGGACACAGAAGAAAGTCAGACAGGTTATGTCAGGATAGAACGTATTTCAAGTAGGGATTGATGCAGCTGACGCGAATGAAGCGGAATCTGAACACAGTAAACAGGAACATAGTGAAAAGTTAAACTGTGCGGTGTCGGTGATGAATAGATTTCAGACAAGGGTCAGGAATACGAAATGCTTGAGCAGACGGCAAACTTCGATTACACTCATGGCCCCCGCATTTCCACAAGGAACATTCGAACTGTGGCAGCAAGTTTATTTGCAATTTATCTCTTCAAATAGGAAAGTGACATTGTAGCAGCTGCTTTCAGGCCTCTTTCAACATCAGTCTATGCCTACACTGCCTTTGATGTTAGACGGTGTGCGAGCTTGAGCCAATAAACTATACTACTTTCAGCCAGCAATAATCCTAGCGCATTTTTCTCGAGGAGTGCCATTTGGATAAAAGACGAAGTCCTGCAACCTTGGATCCACTTGCTAAGGGCCTAACCCCGGAGGCTGCTTTATTCGGCTCGGCCAGTAAGGCGACTGGAACGCTGGTTCCTTGCTCTCCATCCACAAATGCCTCTCCGTGGACCATTCAACAGAATGTCTGTTATTCTTGGGGAAGTAGCTGCGTACTACCTAAGTCCTGGTTCAATAAAGCACTATACTTCTGAGACATTCTTCTCCGATCGGATCACTGTGGGCTCAAGTACCTCGCTTGTGGATAATCGTTTGAAAACCATTTGTCAACATCTCCATACTCATGGTGATATACTTGTTAGATAGCTGGCGATAGCCGATTTGTATGCTGACCCCATAGTTATACTTCGCATAGAAACAACAGGTTTATAAGCGCATATGGGGAAGTTTATGCTGATTTTTCACCCTTTTCTCCTTCTATGGCGTTTATTTTGGACAGATTTGATTGCAAAGCGCAAAATGAACTACGACGATGTTCGAGCAGCGAGCAAAGCCGGTGGTGGATTTTATAAATTCATCTTGGCAGTGATAACTTACCACGATGTGGCTCGGGAGGTGCGTCCGAAGCGGGAGCGAGTGAAAACATTAGAACGTGAATACAACAAGGCAAAACGGGACTTGCAGAAGCTGACTGACGAAGTAACTGCACTGGAGGAGACGTTGTTCTCTCTCAGACGTCAGTACAATGCAGCGCAATCGGAGATGGAAAACTTGAAGAAGGAAATGGACGTGATGCGTCGACAGTTGCTAGCGGCTCAAAAACTGACTGAAGGCTTGGGATCAGAGAAGGAACGGTGAGAAACACGCTATTCGACTTGTCTGGTTGGTATGGTTTGAGGATCATTGCCGTGTTGTATTTGAAGGATATATCCCATGTGTTTGACATACTCTTATGCCTTGCAGAGATAATGAGTTCAAGTTGGCTTTGCAGTACCCGCCGTGCGGTTGCATTGCGACGCGCAGTCTCTATTGAGACCTCGGTTCAATCTGAAGTAGACCTCGGCCATTCTGATAACAGCGACCGTATACGAAGTGGAGGTGCTTCGACTTTGCTCCTCCCAACTATGGCACTCCACGACCGACGTTTTTATGCTCGTTTTGATTCATCATGCTTGGCAGGGGCAACACCAAATGATCTTCAAATAATAGTTCATTTTGGTTTGCATTTGAATGACCACTTGACATCATGCTCCTTAGGGGATCATTTTCTTCACAAATTTGCTACCATACGATTGTGACTAATGTAAAGACGTTACTCTGAGTAAAAAAATGTCGGACACAAGCACAGCTCCAGTTTCGTTTGAACTAACATATCTGCACATGCAGGAAATGCAGTCAATGGGACAAATGTGTTAATTCTTCATTATTATTGCACTAAATTCGGACAAAGGAGCGCATACTGCACTGTTAACATACATCACGGTATGCTATACTAATCAAGAATAAAAGCTGTATTTATCCATTTATATGCGCACATTGCGAATGTTGACTTGGGGCCTACCCGCCTGGTGATACCACCGCGGTTACTGATGACAAGCATATGGTAAAACTTGGTGAGGGATACCGGATACACTATTTTCGTGACATTGCCCGACTAAAATAGGGGTTCCTAAAAGAAACCAACAACTGTCCGGCCAGCGTCATATTCTCATCTGGCACCCACATTCCCACATTCCCTTGTTTGAGCGTGAAGCATGGGTCTGCTCTGAATAAGGTATGATCCCATCTGATTTCATCCATTACTTCTTCATTTCGATGTACACGGGATACGAAGCATGAGAATGGATCAGAAGATCGTGTACCTGGAGCCTACTTTTGTTACTGTGTAAACGTGTCTCTTATTGCCATTCGTTATTCACGGGGGCGATGAGAGCCAAGGCCGGAAAAGGGGTCTCATTGGTCAACAGTAAGCATGAGATTGAGCACTCCAAAGTAGACAAACATTCATTGAATAAAACCAAACTGACGGTTGTGGGATAGTCATAAATCGGTGGGCACTGTCGCGAATGTACCGTTTACCTAACACCAAGGAGCGTTAGCCCCCATTCTTTCCATTTTGGAGAATCAAAATGGCTGAACCCAACGGAACAACCTACCGGAGGATTATAGAAATTTAAAATATTCAAGCGACCAGTTTGTTCCGTTGGCCGGCCAACTCGAGATCGAACCTCGGCACGGAAAATAACCGTGTCAGTGGAGCTTTAGGCAACTCATGAAAGGTCCTTACAGATTTCGCAGTCGATGGGCCTGTTTAGGTTTGGTTATTGACAAATTTGCATAACTTCACCCGCTACTCATATGCAATAAGTAACGACTAAAACGTTATACTGCGATAAAGTAGCTGTCTGCAATTTAGTGACGGAAATGGCAGTTGTAAGACCAACAGCCCTATGAACAGACATATTTTCGCCATCAGGCCGACCGTGGTTACGTTGGTTTTATTTCTCCCTAGTGTGGGAGACTGTGTGAAATGAAATCAAATGTGGAACTTATTACGGGTGGCTTCCAGAGGGGCAAGCGGTAGCAACGCTTCTCTCAGGACAATTAATAATGCAGTTTTACTGAATCACTTTCGAATCGGTTTAATCCGTTTTTCGTATAGTATCCTGCTTACCGTATACGAGGAGGTTTGTCAGCATACCTACCTTTTGATCCTTTATATTTCATTAGGAAGCTGAATTGCATCTATACCCAATCGGTTTTGTGAAGCGTGCTGGTGAGTAGGAATCTGTAGGTAAGGACGTTGGATGGGCTTTTTGGAAGGGCTTGTGCATTGAAAGAGGGAATAAATCCCGACAACAGTTTAGCCGACTATGTCACAGTGCCAACTAAAGTCAGTGTCCCCAACTTCGTGTCTTGACTGATGTTGAGCAAATGCAAGCTACTTTGAGTGGAGGCCGAAGCACAGAAAAGTGCCCTTTGTAAAAGCAAATGAACAAAGTATAGAAGATTCGCATGTTTGGTGAGAGAGTTTCGAACTTGGATGAGTACACAAAGTAAGGACGGTGAAGTAGTGGGTAAACGCCACATTAGTGCAGTGTTTCGATTTTATAGTCGGAAAATGTTGGGGCACTAGAAGTATCTTCCGGTGTATTTTGAGGGTCATTTTTGAAGTACACGTTGTGTGGATGGATTGCGACGCGTAATCTCAATGACCCTCAAAATCCATCATTAACCGTTGTGCCAAAAGTTGCCCGTCGTGACCCGGTGGCTTAGAGGTAGCAGTCACAACTAATATCCCAATAGTCCCGGGTTCGATGCCTGCTAACTATATCTGATGTGGTGTAATAATATCGAAACACGTCATAGGAGTGCAGTGTTTTCGGGCAAGCAACAACCAATTTCTATTTGTATCTTCCAGTGCGTTTGTCAACCAGCTACTCTTCTTTTGCACAGGGCTGCGTGTGTGATGTGGCGTGCGACAATGGCTAAATGACTTGACGTACGGCGGAAGTTGAACTCTATTCAAATAGTACTTTTGGAGAGAAACAGTCTGATTTGTCAAAACGAAATAGTGACATTTGCTTAGAATATTGGAAAAGGTGCTTAAAGTTTTCAAAACACTATTTTTAAACCCAAAATTCGAAGCTCGTTTACTTGATGTGCTTCTTCTTAAACAGTTGCGCTAGTTCCATCCGAATGATGTGTGTCTCCACCATATTTAAAGTCATTTCACCTTTAATATATATATATATATATATCAGACATACGCAGGAAGTTGTTTTTCCGATATTCTGGTTTTCATCAAGCCATAAAGTTTTGACACATTGCCACTTATCTATTCAACAGGTGGATAGAAGAAGTTGCCACATTGGGAAGTGAACAAAAGTGTTTATTGGGAAACACCTTAATCGCCGCGGCGTTTCTATGCTACCTTGGTCCTTTCACAAACGAATTTCGGGAACGGCTAATCAACCGAGAGTGGCTTGTGGCCATTATGCAAGATGGGGTAAGTCACTCTTTGACGAGCAGTCGAATGAACCAATGCGTTTTATTGGGACACAGCACACTGGAAAAACTTGAGCTAAACACCTCTGACGTCCATACACCATAGGAGTTAATTGTGGACATGTGTGTAGCCATCACACCTGACAATTCTCCCTCGGGATTTTGCACCGACTCCGGTGGTATTCATTTTTGTCCCGTGTAAACATCATTTGATAAGGCCACTTGAGATGGGAAAACAGTGAGTTGTGTATTTTAGGCATATGCAGTCCAACCTGCTATGGTAACCACCTGTCTATGGTGACCTGGCAAAAGCATCCCCAAAATTTTCGCTTACTAGTAATGTCCCTATGCGTGAATCTGTCCACGGCGACCACCTGTCCACCGGCGACCCCATGTTGTCGGCCACTTGAGTGGTTATCTTAAGCAGGTTTGTCTGTACCTCGGTTGCATTGCTTCCTAGAGACTAAGCCACTGGGTACCACTGCTGGTTTGCCGCATCATCGCTTGAGACATACCCAGTGTCACGAATTTATAGGAACTTTCATTGTTGTTTGGTTTCAGATATCAAAGCGCTGAGTTCGAGTCCTTCCCGCTTGAGATCGCATAACTTTGTACGGCAACAGTATACCGCTATCGGTCGTTGAACGGGAGTCAATGGAAAACGTATGGTGCATAGCTGTTTACTGTTTGTGCAAGATAGTACCGACTTTTTCTAGCGCAGTCGATTAGCCAAAGTCTGTTGGGTGTAGTCAGATGTGAAAGGAAGCCCGTTGTACCTGACCATACAACCTACTTACATATAGGCTCTATGTTACTCTTTTCATGCTTCAGACGTCAACTGCGCTATCCGTGAGGCCACCGATCATTGTACGATACCTCATTGGCACACGATGGTCGAAATAGCTCATTTTTCTACGAATGTGGATGGTCTGATAGATATTTAATGAAGTATGAGAACAAGCTTTGCGTGCCGTAGTTCGGTGAATGGGGGTAAAGTTTTCGACTAAAATTCAAAAACCAGCGATTTCGAGTACTGCGATCTCTACCTGAAGAGATTAACAGTTAGCAACGGTGGTGGAGTGTGGAGTTTTCGAGTGGGCAACAACACCCAACATCCATATGCGGACCACCGTTTAATTTCGTTCCTTCAGTGAACCTACCAGCAGCACGCGGGCTGAAAACACGCATGCGAATGATCGCAATTAGTCACCTTTCATCGAACAATCAGTGCCAAAACTAAAGTCAACGTGAGTGGAACGAGAGTGAACTGGTACAAAAAACCGGAGTTACCAATCTAGGCTGAGCGTTATGCTACTCTCAGAGCATCTCCTCATCACGGGCTTCGTTCTTTTTTGGATTCTCCGAGTAGAGGTGGTTGGACCTGAAACACAAACCCTGGACACAGTGCTGGATAGCTGACACCTGTTAACACTAGACCACTCAGCTCCGCGAGTAACGGCTAGTCACCAATTATTGTTTGTCTCATCATTCGTATTGTCTCTCCCCACCTACAGCACATGAGCCTGGATCACGAGTAATCGCAGTTCCTCCATAAATTCGCGGTAAATTCGCGGTTTGCTGGATAATAGACTGTCCACTAGAAAATGGCAGAGCGGTAAATTCTAATGACTTAACTCTAAATAGCGTGAGACACGATACATGCGGTAGCGAGGAACTAGGCATGCAACTACGAACAGGCAGACACACAGTGGTGGGCTGTACAAAGGCACTCGTGGAAACGCTAGTTGGATCTAGACCCATGGCTATGAGACCAAGGGTCACAAACACTGAAAGTGCCCATAAGTAATAAACAGCTGAGTTTTGGTACTCTTAATCTCGATCTTTACTTGTTGGAGCACCGTCGATGGTGTATAGTACAAGTAAATCAGCATCTTGCGTGGGTCCACTTGAGGCATACATTGACAATTATGTCACAGTAGAAATTAACGCCATCTAGACTCAGCTAGCCAGCACGTGCACGGAAAAGCACTGTATGCCCGTTTCATCCTTTCGTGAGTTGTGATGAACTTCTGCTTGTACCATTCAGCCCCCACTACGACTCCCTTGTAATTGTGTATTAAGTGAAACTATGTGTGACTTTGTTTCGATGCTATACCAGTCCTTGCGTATTAAACCAGTTAAACGAACTGCTCATAACAAGCTGGACGTCCCGAGGACTGAACAATGTTGTTTGTTTTTCAAGACACTGGCCAAAACCCAGTTTTTCATGAGGGATTTTTAAGGTTTAGTTGTATCGCAAAATAGTAAGGATAACTGTCTTTTCCCGCATTGTTCCCAAATTTATACAGTGCTGAATGTGACGTGGATGGCAAAATTGTAGTGAATCCTAGCCAGTGTGTGCGAAGGACTGCAAGCATAATACTGGCGGGGTAGATCGTTATCCTCTTGTTAATATCTTCGACCATGTCAGTGTGTTTCTATGCACCGCTCAAAACGTGGTTATAAACTGCCGTATCCCTTTTTCTCAGTTTTGAATTCACGTTAATGTCTTAATGAAAGCCCTATGGAATCACACGCTAACCTTTGGATGTCTAGATTCGTTTTGATTTTGGTGTGTGACAAGCATGCACTATGTCTCCATTTCTCTTCAACTTTGCGATCGAAGACGTCCTTTTGGGAGTTTTAGAAGGGTCGCAGAGTTCTGGAATCGAGCTCCTTCCAGATTATTGCGCAACGGATTCAGAGTACGCTGATGACATCGCCTTGCTCGGTGACAACGCTCAACTCATGCAAGTGGTCCTTGACCGGCTGGCGGTTGAAGGGTCTAGGTATGGTATGTGCTTCATACTCTCCAAGTGTAATGTTTTGCTACAGAATTGGCAATCGGCCTCTCTTCAGCTCACTACCGAACGCACACACCCCGAACACGTGGACGGTTTTGTCTACTTAAGGAGCTGCATTTCTGCCGACGACACTATTGGAGAGGTATCCCTCCGTATCGCGAAAGCTCGGTCGGTTTTTGTCAACCTGAGGCATCTGTGGTGTCGTCGCGACCTTTCGCTCACGTTAAAGGGCAGGGTTTACAATGCAGTGTTTGTGCGATGCTGTCACGTAAATGTGAATCCTGACCGCTCCGTCTAGACGACATGCGTAGGCTTTCGGCCTTTACAACTGGCTGTTTGCGGAGAATCGCCCGTTATGTTGGCACCATCGCGTGCGCAACCATGATGTCAGACACCTCGCCTTGGGCAAGACAGGTCTCATCTCTGTGAGTTTGTCTGCTATGCCATTTGAGATGGGTTGACCACATCCTACGAGTGTCTGATGAGCGTTTACCACACCACCCTGTATTCGCGCTCGCAAGGCTACAATGAAAGAGGCCGTGTGGTGGTCAGCAGACCACTTGACGACGCAGCATGAAAACATTGACAGCTTGCCTAGCCACCGCGGACCGAGTGTGTCTACCCGGTTGGGTACCCAAGGATTGGGAATGCTAGTGGCTCAGTACGCTTGAGGTAAAACCGGATGTTGTGGAAGCGGTGCATGCAGCTTTGCGTGAATACCCAGTTTCAAAAAGATAAACTTAAAAAAGGGAAAAAGGACAAAATAGTGTGCAATAAAAAAACAAAACCGGTGTTCTTTGTTTTACTTAATTATTGGTTCTTTTTCAAAAAGTCCTGCATTTTCTGCTTTACTTTGCTTCTTCACTCCATGGTTTTGAAAGTTTCGGTGTATATTCCTACATAATGATAGACATCAATGCAGTGCAATTCAAGAAGTGTTTTACTTACCCATAAGGGTGGATATTCAGCTGTTGTACACATGATTTCAGCATAGAAATAAAGCAATAAATACACAAGTAGAGAGATGAGTGGCAGCAACAGCGGTATGCTTATGATGCAAAGTTGTTTTAAGCTCTAGGACAACTGACGTCTGGACGCACAAAAAGCGTATCAGATATGGGATAACGGATGAGTGGCCAGCCTTTGGACAGACAAAATTGGGTCCGTACTTTGTCTGTTTGAGGATGTTGATACACACGCAGCTAGTGTACCATGAAGGGGGTGACTTGTATCATTACGTATTCTCGAAGCAATCCTTATGCATGAATTGGTGTGAGTGGACACAAGAATCTAAAAGGTCGGCTTGGGAATTCCACTACATCGAGCTAATTGCGTCGATGACCTATTTAGGATTTTGAAGTACTTCCTTAGGAAAACACGAAATATCACAGTAGAGCAATAGGTCCAATGAGGTAGACACATGCGACGATAAATGCGATGTTAAATTAAGTGGCAGGGGACAGGGGAGGATTGCAAACGAAGGGCTTAGAACGAAAGCCTCCTCACCGTTGTAAAAACATCATTAACGTTTAGTGACCAAGAAAGATAACGACTGAGTCTGACGCCTAGGTACTTCACTGAAAATCTGGAGTGCAAATTCTCGCCATTTATGTGAAGTTCGGGGTATTCCAAAAGAAGTTGCTGATAACCATGGCTTTCATGTAGAGAGGAAATGATGTTATTGCATTTTCTGCATTCAGCGATAGAAAGTGAGCTCTGGACCATACTACAAAGCTGTCCAGCTAGGCCTGTAGTTCGACTGATGCGGCTGCGGTCGGTTGTTGCATACCCAAAACTACGTCGTCTGCATGTTTCAGCAATGTCGCATCGGCATGGGCGAGTAAAGAGGCGATGTAGGTGGAAAAGGGATATGCAGATATGATGACCCCTTGAAAAACTCCAGTGTCTGCGGTGAGCGGCCAGGAAGTTTTGCCCCCAATTCGAGTAAACTGAGCACGTCCAATGAGGTAATCGCTCAAAAGACGGACACTGGAGAGTTGAGTTCAGGGATCGTGCAGGTTACTTAAAAGAAGCTCACGGTTTACATTGCCGAGAGCATAACTGTAATCGAGAATACACAAGCGTACAGATTTGACTTTTTTGTCTAGTGACGGCAGCACTGAATGTACAAGGTTAGCTAATGCGTCTTGAGTAGACCACGAAATACGATAAGCGAACTGTAGCGGATCCTCTGAATGAGTCTGATTCAGCAACTTTTCAAGAATATTCTCCTTGTATATCCTCAAATTTACCGAGATGCAGGCAATTGGTCAGTATATATCTGTGCCATTCATTGGCACCGGTATAATTCTGGTACTTCTCCAACAGTCAGCCACATTACACACTTTCATGCACAACGTGTATAAGTCATCAAGAGTCTGGGTCAAGGAATCGGCCCACACTTGGAGGACAACGGGTGATACTCCTCCCGGACCACTTGCTTCGTTGGAGTTTAGCCGTAGTAGTTTTTTGTGCACTGTATTTCTGTCAATGGCAGGTAGGGAGGTTGTGGGCCGATCCAATCGTGGGGAAGAAGGGTAAGAAGCAGAGTTAGCATTGAAGCAAAAGAAGTTTCGGTTCAGTCTACATTTGGATTAGACACTCGGTTAGAGATTCCACTCAGTTGTTTCGGCATACGCCAGAGATCCTGGAAGCTACTATTTTCCAGTATGGTCTGGACATATAGAGGGTTTAGACGGCTCAACTCAGTGTTGATAGAAATACAAAAAGATGTCACCCCAGCGGGGTCTTCGTTTTGAACGCTTTCTCTTTGATTCTACGCAGGCGTTTTAGGTATGTAGATGAAAGCCGAGCACACAAATGAAACTGGTTTCCAGTGAACAGCAGTTATCAATGCAGAAGTTGATGTAACTTGTTAACTGATTGCAGTATTTAGCTACATCGTTGTCAAAAAGTATATACTAACCTCCGTGGAAGAAAATTATTTCCTGGAGTCGATATATGTTCTCGGGGGCATATTGCCTTCTTTTAAGCCGGTGAACTTTTCAACAAGTAATGTCCCTATGCTTTACTTTGCTGTACACGATCGAAGGTGACTTGATATTTGTGTGGCCAGAAGTACTAATCGGGGCCTGATTGCACAAAAAAAACAGTTTCACATTGTTAACAAATATAAGGTCTATACTTGCTTCAAGTCTGGTGGGGGAGTTTACAACGTTTTGTTGCCCAATATCTGTGAGGAGTATTTATCAAATCTGTTGAAATCGCCAGCAAAGATGCAAACAGAAGAATCAATGTGGTCGATAACACTTGAAATGATCGTAAAATTTCTCGGCCTCAGAGGCATGACAATTGGGGGCAATGTAGATATTTGCAACCAAACTCAATTGGTAGCCACTTAAATATCTTGGTTTACATTTCAAAAGCATGCGGTTCCTAGGTGGAGAAGAATAGCGAAACCACCTTTTTGTTGATGTGCACCACATAGGACTGACATAAGTGATGACACCTCCGCCGTGGCTCTTGTGTGTAGTTGACCGGTCGACACGATGGCAAATGAATCTCTCGATCGCTGCAGTCTCATCCTCAACATCTTCATGGAGTCACGTCTCTTGTAACTTAATTACACCAAGCTTTGAGTACTCACGACAGCGTTTTTGCTTTTAAGCTCATCCATATTGCTCACAACAGATCGGACATTTGAGTCTATTATAATGAGCATACTCATACTCCGCAATGTTGTCTACCGTAGAGCAATCCTCCATCCAGCCCGATGCTTCTTAGTAGAATTTTTGTGCTTCTTGTAGGTTCGCTTCAATTTATTTGTTTACAACTTTACCGTGCAAAACCGTAATGTTCAGTGGAGTAGAAACACATAGGCAATTTAAAATATCGCGAGCATAGGTCATCATGGCCTTAAAGATCATATGAATTGGGTAGAAAAACAAATACAAAAATTGTCGAAAGCGTGAGTGTAAGCAATTTGTAGCTATATATGTGGTTGGCGGCATCCGGTTTCGGATTTGCCTGTCGCAACTATATATATATATATATATATATATATATATATATATATATATATATAAATCATATATATCATATATATGCCCCATGCTGAGGCTGATGTTGCATTCATGATGCTTCTTTAATGCTGTTTGGCTAAACCAACTTACGCTTACACTAGGTCTTTTTAAACTGGATAAATTTCATTTCACTTTAATTGGTTTGTTCTGCCTTCCTGAATAATCTTCTGTTAACCGTTTATTTTCATTAACTTCATTCTGTTTGTAGAATTTTTTGAGTAACTTATGGACATTTGGTACTTATCGCGGATTTGTTGCTAACCAACTTACTTCATATGCTAATTTAGGGAAGTTATGTCTGCGTAGCCGTATTCTTTAACAGATATATTTTATTTGACAATGTCATTTCAAGTGACTGCCTGTTGTCTGATATCCCCGGCGTGGCTTCGCTTGATCTGTATGTTGACAAGGTGCCTACCTGTCTATTACCCATTACCTCGTCCATACTGGCTTCAGGAGACAGTAGGTCGTTGCTGGAGGGGACGGGGTGCACGGTCCTTGTGGCCTTGCTAGGCTCGAAGAGTGATTCCATGCACCCAATATGGAGACGACCACGGTCCAGCGACCGCCTTGTGTGCGATTGATTCCCATCTACAGCGTGCTTGTGTTTGCTTGTGAAGGAATGTGGGCCGGCTCTGTTGATGAAACGTGGCTACCATCCGCATGCCTCCCGGTCCTATTCCGTCGGGTTTACACTGGATATGTGGTGTGTGGATGGAGTTGTGCGCGGTGCAGCGCAAGCCATTCATGGTCCCTCTGTAGGCGCTGGCGTCCTGTGGCTGGCCATAGTGACAAGCAGATGCGAAACCGGATGCCTGCAACCATATATATATATATATATATATATATATATATATATATATATATGTATATATATATTTCACATCCTATATACATATAGGATGTGAAATAACCATCCGCTGTGCTCAATAATGGCTTGACTTAGTGCCTAATACAGCTCCCTTTGGATGATTAAGCGTGAAGGAACAATAAGACGGCATGTGGTATTTTCCTTTTCAGATCCCGGTGTCTGAGGACTTTCGTGTGAACAGTTTACTTGCTAGTGAGGTGGAAGTATCCTTGTGGAACTCACAAGGACTACCCTCAGACGTACTGAGCATTCAGAACGCCATTCTCTCCACGAAAGGCCCCACATGTCCTGTGTGTATTGATCCTCAGGGTCAGGCATCGCGATGGATCAAAGAAATGGAGAGGAATATTAAGGATGAATCACGGTCTATTCGTGTAAGTCACTCCGCTTTGATGTAAAGCAACGAAGGTAACAAGTGTGTTCTGTGAGTTCCTTACCCACTTTATTCATCTGTAGATTTCCGTCAACGAGGCGTTATGACGATAGTAGCAACTGAAATTGTTGTCCCAATCTGTTCAAATGTCTGGACATCTGGGTAGCCTGCAGGCTGCCCGAGCTTGTGAAAATGTTTTTCAAGTATTCTTTAGAATGGTAAACTCACTAAACGTTTAATAAGGCCTCAGTACTACTTAAAGCGCTTTGGAACCGTTCACCCTAGAGTACTAAGGAGCAGAGTTAGTGGAACTGTACTTCAATGCAGTTTTCGGCGGAGACTGGATACAACAGTGATCAGTTGTGTGTTCCGAACAACTGGACCCTAATTGATTAATAGTTCAGTGAAGTGGATGTATTAACGCCATGTGCCTTTGTCATGCACCCGAATAAACGTTGCAGATGCCGGTCAGTTTGGCTGAAATGGGATAAGAAAAGTAACACAACATTGGCGCTATCAAGCGGATTAAGGTTTCCATGGATTCAGTATCACTACAGAGGTCGGGCCTCCAAATACCATCCCAAATAAGTATGAATATACTTTCAAGTGAGCCTTTCTTATCAGTCAACTAGTACATCCTAAACCGTTCCAGCAAAATGGTTGATCGATACATAATTCAATAGATCTACTAAAAACTGATTGTAGCTGGGTACGTTTTTATCTCGGTATGCGTACGGTATTTGCTACTGATCAACCGCATTGCATACGATCAGCGAAGTGGGCTAGCGCATTGTATTCCGGAATAGAGAACACCATGCGGGCAAAGAAAACAATACATTCGTCGATCTACATAAGCCCCCCACACGAAGAAGTGGCCTCCAAAATTTTGCAATCCAGATATCTGTTAGTAGGTGAAACTGTCAAAAGTACACACTGTCGGGGTAAAGAAGTAAGTCCACGTTCGCTTTGTAATTAGGGGCTCAGTGGATTCAAGCTAATTCAAATGGGCTCTGTTCCGTACGTATCCTCAATGATTCAGCGAGATTTCGGTTTTTAAACTTAAACTTACATCCATACTATCCATCGCGAATGCACTGTCGGCTTCCTACACCAACCTGTTTTCGGGCAGGTGACCACCCAACATGATCCCAATTTCTTGAGAACCATCGAGAACGCCATCAAATTGGGCCTACCATGTATGATTGAGGGAGTGGAAGAATCCTTTGATCCGGCTCTGAACAACATCATCGCCAGGAATATACGAGGTAGGAAGCGAAATTTTGCCACGACAGCACCTTTTGTTTGCAGATGCATTGCATGAGGTTAGTGTATGTACGGATCTCACTGTAAACTTCTGCATCACCAAGACTTAACGGGTGCAGCTAGCAATGACAAACAACAATTATGCATTAGGTTATTTACACTAGTGACAGGTACAGAGACCTTTCGGACTTTGCATTTCTCATGGTTCAGTTTCATTACTTCCAAAGTATTCGTGCATGAGATGACCAGAGGTTAGACCAAAGTAGTGTAACTGTGGTTGCAGCTTACACCCATGCCATATTTTCAAGCGAACAGTTGAAGATAAAACACGATGTCTTAATTATGTTGGCGCGTATTGTACAGTTGGTTTCACAAAATTCACCCTCACCGCAGCCACACGTTTGGCCGACGACTCAAGTAAATTACTGTCTTCTTTTCCCCTTTCAGTTGATAAGGGTCGCGAAATAATCATGTTGGGTGACCGAGAAGTAGAATATGATCGAAATTTCCGGCTTTATCTAGTATCCAAGCTGTCAAACCCACATTTCTCTGCCACGCTGTATAGCCGAGCGCTGGTCATCAACTACACGGTAACTTTGACCGGGTTGGAAGGTCAGCTGCTAAGTGCCCTGATCAAACATGAACATCGGGAGTTGGAAGAACGCAGGGAAGCGTTGATTGTGGAGATGAGGTGAGAAACACTATGAGAGCATGCTTTTACATCCATGGCATCACTGCCGTATATGCAAATCGTTCAATCTGAGTCTGTTCGAGTAATCTATGTATACTGGTCACTGCGACAGAGATCCAGGTTGGATGCTGAGTTATCCGATAGTGTGCAAGCGCTGAATTTCAGGTGTTACCTGGAAACGCTTTACTGTGCGTTGTGAGCGGCGTAGTGAAGATCCGAAATTGTCTGTGTCATCACGCACCGGCGGAATCTCCCAGTGTCTCAGAGCATCTTATAACTACACTATAATCGTAAACTTGAAACAGTGATAACTCATACCTCATGCCTCATACCTCATGCATCGTCTTCATGCATGTGTTCTCGTATGTCGATAATTATAAGTGAAATTTCCGATGTAACAATAATAAATAATATGTCAGCTGTACGCCTTAACGGCGCTTCGCTGCCGCGCGACCACCACCAGTCGCGCGCGAACTGAGTATACCGCGAGGACGCCCACCCCTAAGCGGATTCGAACCGGTGACCTTATGATTGCAAACCAAACTTGCAGACCACTCGGCCACCGGCCGGCAATTTCCGATGTAGGCAATTTGCGTGGAACTAGTTAACCGAGCATAAGAAAGTAGGTGGTTAACTTCATGAGCTAACTCTATGCTTTACCATATGTTAGTGAAGTTAGACATTTTGCATAGCTAGAAATCGCGGGTCATATGAGACGAGTCAGATCTAATAGGTGAAAAAATACCGAATGTATCATCCACTAGATAGATTTTCTTTCTGGTTAAAATTTGAATTATCCTACGTACAAGAGTGCCAACGACCAACCATCTGGAAGAGCTGAATAGTCGAATCGCTCTTCCAACTGTTTCGCTGAACAATTTAAGCGATGGGTCTGAGAGTGGATCGGCTGTATATTATTCTTAACTCTTACTTCACATGCTGAGGCTTTCCGTTAACTCGCACTGTGATAACTATAAAGCGGCAGTTCATTGTTTCCAGTAACGCTCGTTCTCTTGGCCTCAATGGCTTCCTCTATATGCCAATGCCTCAGTGTGATTCTGGGACACAAATTCACACGCCGTTACAAGCCTCTGTGGTTAATTTCGAACGGACTGTGAAACGCGTCAGTTTCCGTTCTTCATTTAAAATCCGTGATGCCTTAACTATAGCGAAAGTGGGCTGAAATGATCTGTTCGTAATGTATGTTGGGTGGCTTCAAGCCACTTCAGGTTCACCAATTTCATTCACTGGTAACAACTGCCTTGCGATTTCAGGTGATATTTCCGCTTTGCCGCGAGGTATCCTCGATGTTGTTCTCTTCGTGGTAGTTGGATGGGTGGGGGCTAGGTGAGCGCGTACTAACTCACAGTCGAGCCCATTTTAGCGACTCAGATCAATGGACATTCTTGCGCCGGCGCAGGTCACATGTAGTCAATTGTAGCGTAGTCGATTTGAAGTTCAGGGCAGTATGCCATTTGGTTTACGTTGTGTCGAAAGGTCGCGTTGTTTCTACATAGAGAATAGTCGGAAGACAACCGAAATAGTATGACCATTGTTAGTGCGGAAGACACTGACCTTTAAGGACACCCAATGTAGTACTTTAACCCCGGTCATGCATGCTATCCGAATCACCCAGTGTTTGTGGTGAAGGTAGCATTAATAATTCCATTCGACCCAGGAAAGTGGTCAGTTCAAGGAATTAAAATACTGGTAATTTCGGTCTGTATTCAGCGGATGCAGAAAAAATAACAACTAGCGATCACCTTGTCCAAGGTTTCTATCCGGTCAACCAAATAAGAGTTGCCAGCTGCGATCATAAAACATACGAACTCTTACTGACTGCAAAATCAAAATGAAAAGCACATGTTGGCCGACTTGTTGGAGTTTGGACTTTGAGGGATCTAATGGGGAGCGCTTCCCTAGTTATAATTTTACAAGAGTAGCCCAAAAGAAAGAGCAAAAGTGCCTGTCACGGGCGTAGACAATACTATCCATCAGCTCTTCTCGAAAGAGGGGAGCTTCCCGAGGATATCTGTCTTTTGTCATGGGGCAGGAGTCTGATGCACAAGCTCGAAGGAGCATGCCTAGCTCTGAGGCGTGCCCGCAGATTGTTGAGGATGGCTTTTTTCGTACTCGTCCCAAGTGGTTTTTGAAAGCTTTTGAAAAAATTGTTATGATATCCCTCAACTATGTCAGATGATACACTGGAAATCACGATAGAAAACAAGTCGCTTTACCTTCTTATATGACTATTGGTCGCAAACCAGTGAGCGAAGATGGGCCTCTCCAAATTCAGAGGCAATCCATGCTTCACGCCAGTAGGTTACTATATGGTGGACGCTGCAGCCAAGTTGGTGCACCTTTTAGCTTTTGAAGGGTCTGTTATGTTCGACTGTAAAAGTGCTTGGTCAGTATGATCCAAAGTAGATCAACGTTTGCTGAAATTGTGTAAACCGAGGTATCAAGGGAAAACCCGATTTCATCACGGAAGTCGGTCCTCTCGATCTGGTAAAGATTAGATCACCTACTGCGGGAACATGCGCCATAACAGGCAATTTGTGCTGCGAACACTCGCAGTGATGCCCATTGCGTCCCCTATGCGCGCATCAGGCAAAACGGTCTTAGAAGTAGGCACTAACACTGCTCATGACTTTCCATGGAACCTTAATCAACAACTAGATAAAAAACGGCCGAAAAATACGCAGACTTGTTCGCGTGGTGATCCTTTTCTTGTTCGCGGTGCATATCATTTACACATATACATCGATGACCAGTTTGCTTGTGGGCAATCAAACATTCTAGGCTTGCTGTTTCCAGTCTAATGGTTGGAGTTTACACCAGATCTGATATGTGCTGGGATAGTTGTGGATGGTTATCCTGTTGGTAAACTTGAGGAAATCCCAAAACAACTCATCCCGGTATTGGATTGAATGACGGTACTGCGAAATTCACACGTTGCTTACACTGCCCGGTGGTTATTTGTGAAGATATCTGTTGACAAGCTGTATGTTCTGATTCTGAGTTTTCGTCCGACTAGCTCTAAATTAAGCCTTTAAATGGGAGGAAACCGGCCGTGAATTACAGTGTTGGGAGCAGGCAACACTGAGGATTAACATAATTAGCACAATTATGTTTCAAGAACAGATTTTCTTGCCCAATTCCGAAGTTTATCATTTCCTTCCCAATCACTTACCATCCTACTCCTTCGGTCGCCATCCTTCACCTGTTTTGTGTAGTACAAGTTTCGTTCCCACTATGTGTTTCAGTGAGAACAAACGTACACTGAAGGAACTGGAAGACCGACTGCTGCTGGAATTGGCCACACAAACAGGGAACATTCTAGACAATTGGGAACTGATCGCAACCTTGGAGGGAACCAAGAGCAAGGCTGTGGATGTGAGTCGTCAGCTATCGCAAGCCGCAATCGTCACGAAGGACGTGGATCGCCAGCGAGACGCGTTCCGTTCGGCAGCAAGGTGAGTACTGACGATTACTTCCCTTATAGTTGCTAATAGGCACCGTAAATCGTTGTTCTGAGAGATATTCCGTGCAAAGTTTTGATTTATTTAGGCAATGTACTCTATTAACCTGTCTTGTTACTGTCCTAATTAATACGTCTTCGTTCCTCTGTTGCATTGATCTCAACAGAAGAGGAGCCATTTTATACTTTGTGCTGGCAGACTTGGCGTTGGTAGGCCCAATGTACCAGTTCTCCTTATCTTCGTACATGACCGTCTTCCTCAAGGCACTGAAGAAGGCAATGCCACACAATTCACTACCTAAAAGGTTGAGTAATATCAAGAACGCACTAACTTACGCTACTTATTGCTACGGATGCATGGGTGAGTAGCTTATAGATGCATTACCTTTTTACGCCGTTGAATGTACTATTATATAGTCTAGGCAGTGCAAGCACACAATTTGTTTTTTTTTCGGATCAAAATTGTGTGTATAAAACCCACTGGGACGTATTTTGGGACTAAACAACTTGTGCTTCCTTTTCGGACGGGTGCATGTGCAGGAATCGGGTGTTGCTTTTAGCAGTGCCTCTAACCAACTCATAGGTTGGAATGTAAAACTGAAAGTCGACGCAGCTATGACACAGATCGTCTTTACTCTATTATCTTGAAACAACATACCACGAAGTTGCAGGATGTATGCAATGTTGTTGGATCACAATGCACTGTGTTGCAGAACTCGGCCCTTCAGGGACAAGCATTTATGCAGCAAGGTCAATTCGGCGCAAAGTGCATCATGTTTGGCAAGCCAAACTCTTCGGTTTAAGTTGCACCTTCAAGTCCATAACTAACGACCCTTCTGAGTCAATGAGGTTCCTTCTTTGCTTCAGTTAAACAATGAATCACATGAATATCGGTCAAGCCGAGTCCAGTAATCGAATCCGTTACGTCCGCCTCCCATTGGCTATCTGGCTCTCTCGATTGGTCCAGCGGCTTACTCTGATCTGACACCCATCATACTCTGTACCCATCAAAAGGTTTCAGACGTTTGGTCTGAGATGGTCGCGCTTATAGTCGACAAACTCCCTTATAGAGACGATTCCTTTTCTACAGGTTAGCTGTAACAAGCTTGCAGATCATAAATTCATTACCGATTAACTGAAGGTTGGTCGCCGAGTAACCGGAAATGCTCGGTGATGAAGCTGACTCTGAAAAGCAGCGACCCAAACAAGGTAGTCAAGTACTGGTCTATTTGCCAGACCTCTGTTTTGGTCATGGTACTTGCGAAGATTATGAAGAAGGGTCTACTGCGGTAGCTGGACTCGTAGGACCAGTCTACACCCCCACACCGCGGATTCCTGAAAGCCCGCTCAGGAATCGCCAACTTGCTCCTGACGAAACATGAATAGTTCCAGGCAATAAACAAGGGAAAGTGAGTCAATGCTGTCTACATTGGTCTCAGTAAAGCGTCCATGAGGTCATCATGCACAATCTGAGGATACGCGGTGTTGGTGGCTTACTGCACCAGTGGATCAGTCATCTCCACTTTGGATGAAGTTAGAGGGTGTAACGGTATGGATATCTAACCGACTGTTATCGTTGTACGAACGCGGTACCCTAAGTCACAGTAGTGGGACTCATTTTGTTCCTGATCCACATAAATGAAGTACCACAATTTCTTCGGTCTGTGTATTGTTTTGCAGACGACTGGAAGATTTGGAGTGTAACTGATGCTCTCACCCACTGCGATGTATTCAACATGACCTTGACCGCCCCTTCATTTGGTCTGTAGGGGTCTGTTTGGCTGCCAATCCTGTCAGTTCGTTATTTATGCGCTTGGTGTAGGGTGGTGATGGGTGTTAACGGTAAACTTACAATGCAAGTTGTAAGAGAGATATTGGGACATTTCTACGGATCACCATAACTGACACCTACGCCATCTGCTAAATCCCATTCTACCACCTGTATGTCCAACCTACTATGTCTTCCTGTTCTGAACCCGCATGATTTCCTACCAATCTCCGCTGTTACAGTTGCTCTCCCCCACAATGTGCAACTTGCCCTAGGATTCAAATCACATGCTCTCTATCTGTCCCTTCACGTCTGCGCCCAGATGTGACCTGATACACAATACTCCCGCCACCCTTGAAGCTACTCTAAGAACCCAACGCATTGTATCTCTATGCGCTGTACAGTGAACCAACTGGATAGTGTTATGTGACTCAATAACAGAGCCGTAGGATTCTGTTCACGAACTCTAGGTTTTGTGATCTGGCTATGCAGTCGCAAGTGCGGTGACTTACACTTGCCTTACGTGCTGGTTTACTTTGTAAAGACTTGGTTGTTTCAACACGGAAAAGGGACTGTTGTGGTATGTCCGCATTGCATTTCGTTATGTCTTTTAATCGTACCGTGGTTAACTTTTTGCCTTGTTCTTGGTTTGGTTCGGAAGTTTTCCGAATTGTTCAAGCTCCAAACAAATTTGTCCCTTTCATTGGGCGAATTTACACTCTGGCCGAGCAAACATAATTTGATGTCCGTGGACAACAGCAACAGGACATACAGAAAATGACTGATTATGCATTAGGCCCTCAAAGGCAGCTTCCGCATTTGGTGTGAAGAGATCGTCCCTCATCTGTGCATTTGCGTCAAAAAATTAATGCTGCCTATTGTTCGATCAGTCGGGGTGAAGTGCGGAGCCCTGTCTTATATCAGCAGGCTCATTCCCAGGCCCATTCCCAATTTACGGGGCATGCCGTAGGAGGAGTGATACAGGAGGCTGGGGTTGTAAACCTTGTCATGTTGGCTTTGCGTTGAACTCTTAGTACCCCACTGGATATTACATCACTGTGACGTTTTCATGCTAAGGCCGTTGCTGCACATGTGCACACAAAGCACTACACGCGAGTACCGGCGTAAGGTTGTAGCACCGGACCTGATGGTGTCAGCAGTACGTCTGCTCACCGCACCGAGGTTTCGATGCCACGCGATTGCTACCAATCACTTATGCGCTTGGTACACCTGGACATCGCCCGGACCTACACGGATTTGAACCAGTGACCGATAGACTAGAAGGCAAATGCCTTACCTTTGGTCTACCGGCCGACAGTGGAGCCGAAGCAAAAGGCTCATTCTCCATGCTGCAATGAACAATGGATTTATACGGGTCAAGAAGCGTTGCTTTACAAGTCCCGTTAGATAATTGGTGGGGATATCAACATAACAATAATGATGATAAGGATAGTAAAATAGTTAATACTTTAAATATGAAAATAAGGACTTATCGTTTGCTTCGCTGCAGTCCTGCGATCCACTTAGATGCACAGCACCCACAGTTAACAACAAATAATTCCATGGTATACTCCAGGTGTGGGATGGAGACGTAGTGTTAAGTAACAAAGTGTAAGTGGATGAGTGCATCGTCCAACCGTCTTTTAAATACTGTTAGTGTTGGTACAGAGACGACCGATTCTGGGAGAGCATTCCACGGGTGACAGACACGAATGGAAAAGAAATTTCTGCCGCACTCCAGACGACTGTATTGTTCTGCAAGTTTTAATGAGTGGCCCCTCAGGTATGTATTGCTGCTGAGTAGCAGTAAAGGGCGGCACACATGATGTGGGTCTCGCAGAATCAAGTATGCCATAATCACGTCGCCTCGTAGTCTGCGATAGCATCCACTGAACAATCCCAGTCGTTGCAGCCTCTCCTGGTAGGAAAGATTGCGCATTCCAATTACGTTCTTAGATGCCCGGCGTTGAGGCTCCTCCAGTACATTAAGGTCGTGTTCCAGCAATGGATGCCAGGCTTGAATTGCGTATTCGACATGGGGCGAACATACGCACTGAGCATTTGTCGAAATATGGAGCTGTTTATTTGTCCAAACGCCCGCCTCAACAGCCCGACGTGTTGGTTCCCGGTCTTCGAGGTCTTTTCGGATTGCCTGGAACAACCCAAGTCATCTTGAACTAGGACACCTAAGTCACGTTCGAGAGATGAATGTTGTAGTATATTCGTTCCGAGTTAGTATGAGTAGATGCTCTGATGTCGGATGGAAAGCACCTTGCATTTACTGACGTTGAAATGCAATAAGTTTTGGATCGACCACTGATACACCGTATCTAAATCACTTTGAAGCACATGTTGGTCGGCGTTCGCCTGGATCCTGCGCCAGATCTTGATATCGTCAGCAAACATTAGGAAGTTTGAAGCGATTCCCTGTGCAAGGTCATTACTAAACACCAAAAACGAACGTGGACCTAAAACTGGGCCTTGCGGCACACCACACTCGAATTGTATGGGGTCCGGTAAAGAGCTCCGAACTCTGACCACCAATTACCGTTGAAGTAGAAAGTTGGCGATCCAGCTTAAAAGAGGGTCTCCGATCCCGTAGTGATGCAGCTTGGATAGTGGTATCCGATGGTCTAGACGATCGAAAGCCTTGGAAAAATCTAGGTAGATCACATCAACACATTCTCCAGCGTCAGCTGCCTTGGTCCAACTACTGCGTGCGATTAGTAAATTAGTTGTACATGACCGCTGTCGACGGAAACCGTGCTGTTCAGGAGTACTGATGTTGCAGTTTTCCAGATAGCACATTAGTGCATCGGCAACTATGGATTTCATGACCTTGGAGAGTATAGGAAGAAGGGTTACTGGGCGGTAGTTGGAGGGTTCAGATCTGCTTCCACCTTTGTGAATTGGGCTTATTATTCCAAGCTTCCACATGGCGGGAACCTGGTTCTGGTCTAAGCAGTGCTAGAAAAACTGAGCTAAATGTCCTGTCAGTTGACTTGCTGCTGCTCCCAATGCTTCTGGACGAACGATGTCGACACCCGGCGAGCTGTGTTTGCGTAGAGAAGTCAGCTTTTGCAATACAGCCTCTGCGGTAAAACTGATGTGGGTTAGTCCTGGTGAGCAGAATACAAAGCTTGGTAGATCGCTTGGTGGCAAGACTCTTTGAAACGTGGGGGCGTATTGCATCTGCAGCGCGTTTGCAGCTTCCATAGACGTTCTTGTTGGGCCATCAGCCGTCTTGAGTGGAGGAAATCCTTGCCTCACCTTTCGTAGGCTATTAACGTGCTTTTACAGCGGTTTGTGGTTAGCACTGAAGGTTTTTGCGATGTTCTGCTGATAGGCGGCTTTGTCTTCTCTTAACAGTTGAGTGCAGTGGTTACGTTGGGCTACGTAGTTGTCCCAAGTTTCTGGTGCTGGAGCTTCTCTGTACACTCACCATGCTGCGTTGCGTACTGTCATCCATTTTCGAGTTCTGCTCCTAACGAAAGAAACTGATTTGCACTTATTGCAAGCTTTCATCTCTGAAGCCTGTGCAGTCAGCTGACTGAATTTGTTGACGAACTTGCGCCACGCGAGTTCTGGGGTTC